TAGCTGTTGTTAAGACAGGATAGTATATCGGCAACAAAGCGAGCACCGACTGCTGCATGTATTATCCCAAGAAGACACTTAACTTCATTGTTGCACCTGTGGTGCCATGCAACTTTACAACAACGGGCACAGATATGGTCGATCGGCAATATACAGGGGACACTATCGTACTCGAACATATCCGTGACGTTCACCAACCCGCCCTAACGGTTTTACGTAGGAGCCACCCCTGCAGGTGTTGCCTCCTTTCTTCGCTGTCGTACGGGAGAAAAGGGTCCAGAATTCAAGCCTTGTAGAGAGTGGGTCGGTCTGTACAACACAAACCACCATTGCTGTACTAATGAACCTTTCGTGCAGTGGGTTACACAGTCACAAAAAGCCCGTGCCCAATCCCCATTTGCTGCAAAGACTCCCGACACATGCGTTGCCTACTACTGCTGTGCTGTGGTATCATCGCGAACGAGTGTCTTTCTTCAGTGATCGCATGTATGGCTTTCGTCCCACTCAATGCAAAGACTCAAACACATCCCGTCGACTTCATACTGCTCTGTGGTATCATCGACAAAGGGTATCTTTCCATCAGCGATAGTACGTTAAGCTGGCGTCCCCACTCGTTGCAAAGACTCCCAACGCATCCCGACCGCGGCACAGCAAAACCATCGCGAACCGATAGTCTTCTTTTGGTTCCACCGTGTGTGTAGACCATGTCTCAAGAGGATGGTAAGTGTAACATGTGATACTCACGTTGTACTTCTCGAAGAGGTCCTTGCTGAGGCCGGCGGACATGAGCACCCGGCGGGCCTCGGAGTGGGCTCCGAAGTGCGCCTTGCGGCTCTTACGCCGAGAGGACGCTACATTGGGGTTGAGCTTCACTGCACTCGGATCGAACGGCGGCAGGAGGACAACGGGCGGGGCGCGAATCGCGAGGCAAAGCTGTCATCAGTTCCAAGTACATTAGAACGCAAGTGATTCGGTGGATGAAAATATCGAGAAAACTGGGTGAAGGCACGAAGGCACATATCCAAAGAGTGGCGTATTCGCCGCGGTTGAAGCAAACAGTTTTTTGGGTATCCTGGAGACAGCAGTCATCGCCGCCCAAGATATACTGGTTGTGGATGAGTGCCGTGAGTAAACTGAAGCAACTGATGATTTGGGCATGGCGGTCGCGAGTAGCGTTGGCTGCTTCTTTGAAATCGAAATTAATAGGTGTTCCGCGACGCGCACTAGTGCTTCTCTCTCGCATCGTCAGAACGTCTGCTTGTTTACTGGAGCCAACAGCAGCAATACGCTGATCATAGCATTCGGGCCCCTCGGCAACAATGCCATCATGGCAACACACGCCAGGTTTTGTTTCGGGGGGCACTGCGGGCGCTACATAAATATCGACGAGATCAAAATTTGTGTGCGGCTGGCTTCCACGCAGCTCGATACGAAATATTAGCAATCGCGGGCAGCCGCCATCTAGTAAGGCCAGTAGAAGGGTGAGCCGTTCAACGATACAGCACACAACAAGTCGGACAGACGCTTACGTACAAGCTGCTCTCTACGCGACACAAGGTACCACCAGTTCCGCATCTCTGTGACTACAGCAGTATTGAGATGGCCCACACACCGCCTGGTGTGGCTCCGCCATGAAACACAACAGTGTCAACACTTCTACAAAACAGCCGAGAAGCAGGCAGCCAAGGCTGCAAGCGTATGCTAGCGGTCGTAGCCCTGCAAACCACGACCAGAGGGGGTGCTTGCCCTTGCACAGCAGCACATTTCACCGAGGAGCCATGAGAGCATCTGTACCACTGCTGGGTGCTTGACTGAGATACAGAAATAGCAGGCACCTCGTAATCGACGCTTCGGCTTTGACTAACTGCCTTCAGTGAAACATTGCGGCTAGCTGAGCACAGCACTACCCCAACATTCACATACAGAGCTATCATCGCGTCGCGGCTCCCCTAGTGTGATAGGCGGCGGCTGCACGGCCACAGCTCAAAAAATGGGTGGCAACTGGTGATCAAGCCTCTCGAAGAAAGACGTGTGTGTGGCTTCCCGTCTCTAGACCATTGAACGGCCGAGACAAGCCTGATTCTTGGACAGAATACAGAAGCGACGGCTAACATACTGCCTGCTTTCCAAAGCACTCACTGTCGAAAGAAGAACAGGTGGAACCTCCCCCGACGTCCTGTGATCCAGCAGGGTGGCAAAGCAAAGGTAGACTACAAGCCAGCACCAGTCACGTACGTCCTCCATGAGGGCGCCGTAACTCGAAAACACCCTCCTGAATAATGCAGTACTTCATACCTGCGTCACCCCTCGCTATAGGTTTGAATGTACGGCCCTCGACTCGAGCAAGAGGAACAAAGCGAAGCGACAGGTCACACTCGCAGCAGTCGCACACACGCAGACAGCCTTGCTCAATCGCCGCTTGTGTCCCACCCGACGTGCGTCCGGAAATACATTGAACTGATCGTGTTTGGGGGGAAGCCGTGTGATCCACAAGTTGGCACTTCCAGAGGAGCAGAAAGCGGGACACACACACACGGCAGCAGGAAGGGCTAACCATGAGCGAAGCTGTCGAGGCCGCACCGGCCTCCAGGACCACCAGCCAGTATGACCTAACCCGGACCATCAGCAAGTATTTGGATCTGCACATGATGTTCCCGCTGCTGGACTTCGTGGAGATGTCGAACATCTACCCCGCGGACCAGGTCGCGCAGGCCCGGCTCGACCTCCTCGACGGGACGAACATGGTGCGTGCGTCCTGAAGAGCAGCACCGGTTGGAAGCAGTGAAGTGGTATGATTGCAAGCACGAAGAGCATCATGATTGCAATGCAATTGTTTCATGCAGGAAGTCTTGAATATTTTCCCACGGACGGCGATTATAATTTAGGACACTTGGCTCTGTAGTACCTGCCAGATCTGCTTCGCCGGGTGGATGACCGCGGTATACATGAAGCATACACAGCCATCTCTTGGGGCGGCCAAAAACACGGAGGAGTAGTTTGGCAGCCGCCGTGGCAGCAGTAGATTGGGCTTGTTTTTCGCGGTGCAACAGGTAATGCAACGATGGCGGGCGTGTGACACGTGCTTTCCGGGTTGTCATGAATCATTTGATTTTTGGTGACAGGCGGCGGTGCCCTCTGAAACCGGTTCACACGTTCACCCACCAGGAGCCAAGCGATGCATACGAAGCACACGCACACAGGTTGCAGGAACCCTACAAGTACTTGCTACCCTTGAACGCAGCTATGTATCCGCTATGGAGAGCAACTCGCATGCGTCCTCTTGTTGTCTGAAGACGCAGGAAAAATATTCAGTAGCGGATTCGACGCTTGTGAAATTGACGAGCGTGTACTTGCGTGTTTGATGACAGGCAGCGCCTCGAGATTGCCGTCTTCTGGTGTTGTGTTGGGGGCATGCTGCTACACTTGAGGCCGAAATCGAAAACGGTTGCCACCAGACTACAGAAGTATTTGGGGTGCACTGGCCGGACGATGAACTAATCCTCTTGACATTACCCCTGAAACACAGAAGCCGCAGCTCAAAGCCCTCGCCCGAAGACCTTGCGCCTCGGGTATCTGTAGGAGCTAGAATTGCTGGCTGCACTTTATGCAGCGCTGCATTCTTGCGAGGCAGTGTACTTGCGACCAAGATAAGCAGAATGGGAGATGTCAGAGAGAGAAGTTGATGTCTCACAAGCTCGAAGGCGCGTGGGTGCTGAAAACCGCTTACACTGCTACATCCAACACCGAGAGGTGTTTGTCTTCCAAAGCGTTGCAGCTTGCGATTACTGTTGCTGTGCTGTAATAGCAGCAGCAGTAGCGGCAGCAGCAGCAGCGGCAGCAGCGGCAGCCATAACGACACCAGTGACAGCACTCAAATCTACCTCTACGACATATTTCCAGCCCTCTGATGTCTGCGCCTGCGACGTGTTTCTGGCCCCTGGATGACCGCTGCTCCCCTGCTTTGCTTACCACGTAAGCCCAACCTTCGCATGTCAACCGCTGACCAACACATTTCTTTGTCGTGTACCCAACCTGACGACCTATGTAATGCGATGGATGGACGAACGGATGGCCCGCTTGCTTGTTGGCCGCTTCTTGGGGGGAAATTTGCAGAGCGACTACGCAATGGAGATTTACAAGAGCCTCAACAACACGGATGAAGACCCGCCCGGTGAGAAGAGATGCCACGGGGCGGGGGGGCGGGTTGCTCATGTAATACTCATGCCGGAGTAGTGAAACCGTTGACCTCACATCCCTACAATGCCGGGACGGAGAGATTTGCCGGGTTTTGTCTGGCTGCATTGCACAAGGATGAACCAGAAGGGACAGCCAGCGAGGGGGGGGGATGGTGCGGGGGAGAGAGACGAGAGGAGAGGGGAATGGTGTATGGATCGCAGTACGGTTGGCACGAAGGTTACCTGCGTCTACAGGGTGTCCTCCTTACAGTAGTAACTGCATGCTTGTAGGCTGCAGTTGTTGATGTGAGGGTATACGGGTGCGATTTCGTTCATCTCGCATGCTATTGATTGCTTTTCGTGTTCCCGAAGACGGGCAGAAGCTGACGCCTGACGCAGCTGGAGAACCGATGATTTCGCGTCTTACAGCAGCAAGAGACGATGCTGTGGAAATTCATTGTTAGTGTTTGACGTCCGCAATGGCACCGCCACCCCGTGTCCGGCTGTTGGGCTGACTGACTCGACACGACAGACATGGTGGAACGTCGCGCGGAGGTGTTCGCCCGCATGTCTACCCTCAAGGATGAGGCTGGCATCCTGACGGAGGTCTTCGCCGACAAGGTGCGTGGGTAACGCGACGCGTATTGTTGTATTGTTTGCTGTTCTGATGCCCTTTGCGGTTGGGTCAGCTTGCGCAGTTGGTATTAGCCTTCGCCTGTGCAGGGTGATACTCTCACGGCTGTCGCCCGGTAGTCTTATTGTGTTCGCCCTGCCTGGCCTTTGAACGGCGGTTGCACGACTGCTGGTGTTGTCGGCGCACCCCTGCAGCAGCGATCGACACGCGGAATACCCACCTCCCGTGTGCTTCGTTTTGATCGTTTTTTTTTTTTATTGATTCTTGGTTGTTTTTTTTGTTTTTTGCGAGAAATTCAGGCTGTGGTGGAGGAGGCCTCGTTGACCCAAGTGGACCCCGCCAGCTTCACCCAGCAGCAGCTCTCGGTGGAGAAGCTGATCAAGGAGCAGAACTTCACCTGGAAGGTGCGGTACTACACAACACGCGGTTCGCCTTGCGGCAAGAGACGTTATACGGCAGTAGTAGAGGTCAATTGTTGAGGCGGTAGGATGTTACCACTTTCAACAGGCGGAACAAGACCTGGTCTTTGTTGCTGGTGGCGGCAATTGTCTTCTTGACCTTCCTCTGATTCTTGCGATTGCGAACGCCGGGGGTACTCATTTCGAAGTGACTTTGGGGGCTCCACAAGGTCGGGACGTCACCTCTGAGTTCGTTTTTGGCCGCCCCATGTAGTCGACGGCAAGCCGACAGGGGCAACTGGTGTATCTTAAGTACTTACACACGATTTCGAGGATGGTGTGCTTGGACGCTACATCCAAAAGCGGCCAAATTCAACTGCGTTTCATGCCCCGAAAAGACTGACGCCCTGACCCCTGGTCATCGGTCAGCCGTGTAGCGCGGCCGATGCTAAAAGTTCGACACACGCAAATGCACACAGAGCCCTTTGACTATAAATCGTTGCCACGTTGTTTTGTCCCACTGTCAGACTGGCATCTTGTTGTGTTCAGCCGGTTAGCATCGTCGATGCACATCAAAGAAAATCGCGTGCGCGTACACACAAGTCCCAGATCAAGGCCTTTCAAAGCATTTCCTGTTTTCAACCGCCTTAAGACTGATGTATTTTCAGTGGTCATGGGTTAGCCGGTTAATGCGGTCGATGCTAAAAAAACACACACACACCATCACAGGGCATCAAGGGCGAGCTGGGGCTAGAGGACTCAGCCCTGGAGGCGTACTACGCGAACGCCAAGTTTCAGTCCGACTGCGGCGACTACGTGACCGCCGCCGCCGCCCTCAAGAGCTATTGCGACATCACGCAGACCCCCGGGGTCCCCGGCAGCGGTCCCAACGGCATGAGCGCTCTGTGGGGCCGGCTTGCTTGCGAGGTAAGATATTAACTGCTGGAGCGATGCGCTGCTTGGGTGTGGTTCAATGGTCCAGTGACAATTGGGGGCTTGTTAGTTGCAAACAACTGCGCGCAGTGCCTAATCGGATTTCCCCTGGCTGGATATAGTTGACTTGTTGGTTTCTCCATGCGTCGTATGTACCGTGGCGGTTGTTCTTCCGCGAAGCTGGTTCTCTCTCGCGGGTCTACCATGTACCGCACCGTATCAATTATCACGCTATGGCGGCAAAGAGAGCAAAGGCGAAGGGAGATACGCGGCTGGGACCGCTCCAGTCCCCCCGTGCGTGCCAATGGTGTCGGGAGAAGTTGGTCTGCTTTTATGGGGTACCCAACGAGTGCGTTGGACGCTGGCTAGTATCACCACCATCGGTGTTATATGTCAGCAGTCAGCTGTGGGGTGAAGTAGACTTCTCGGTATGAGATGGTGCTGCGCGACGACGGAATTTGCCGCAGTGCTGGGCATTGCTGGGGTTCGTGCTCCATGATGATGGATAGTGATGCTTGGCGACGGTGTTTGCCGTCTGATGGTGTTAATTGATGGCGTTGAATATCATGATGACGGTGAGAAATTGCAACATGCTGCTTTTTGTTTCCGGTTGCTTGTCCAACTTGTTCAACTTTCGTCACACGCAGATCCTGGTGGCCAACTGGGACGGCGCGTTGACCCTGTTGCGAGAGCTCAAGTCCTGCATCGAATTCACCAACGCTCCCCCTTTGGAGCAGTTGCAGCAGAGGAGCTGGCTGCTGCATTGGAGCTTGTTCGTCTTCTTCAACCACGCCAACGGAAGGTAGGCTAGCTTGCCAGCGGAAGCATGCGATCACACACCGTTGGCTCTAACGCACGCTTCTCTAACGCACGCTACACGACAGGGAAACTACTAGCACCTACACCCTCGCCGTCGATAACTCGTTATGTTGTTGAGTGTTTTTCTTCGCATCTTTTTCTTTTTCGTCTCCTTCTGACCTCTCATGATCCCTGACAGCTTGGCTCAGAAACAGCAGCTTGTACACTCTGTTAGTGACTACTCCTATCTAAGCTGTTTCACGACGTCTGATTGGCCAGGCGTTGGTTCCTAGCCCTTTCCAGCTCCCTCTCACCGTTCCGCATTCCGAGAACGCGGCGCAGTCGCGTTCTTGCCCAGTTCGCGGCCGCTAGGCCGTGCGTTGGCCTTGTGTTAGGGGTAAAGTTAGGGTTGGGTTGGGTTGGGTTAGGTCGGCCACGGTGTGTCCTAGCCTTGACCGGTTAAACCTGAAGAATCACTAACAGACCGTAAAAAGACCTCAGAAATGAACGGACCAACCATCCTTGACCGCCTCTTTTTCGCTTGGTGTGTGTTCCTTTCCTCCATTGATCACGGCCGGATTACTTGGGACAGGGATGAGCTTGTCACCTTGTTTTTCGAGGAGCCCTTCATGCAAGCCATCCAGACCAACTGCCCCTGGCTGCTACGGTATTTGGTGACGGCGATCATCCTTACCAAGGTAATTGATGGTATGACGGGACGAAACCCGCGTTCCATTTATTTATTTTTTGCATTCCAGGAGCTATGCGCACCCTTTCATGTACTGCGCACCCCATGGTATGCATATCCTAAATATGTATTTTGAAAGACGAAAGTGTTCGTCTACGGTTAGAACCCCCCAAGCGAAGGGTCACCGGAGGGGATCCCGGGTACCTATCCTCCTGGCCCCACCGGTTGGTGCCCCGACCAGTGCCCCGGAGTGGCCGAGCCGCTTCCTGCGTTGTGGCCACCCAATCGCCTGACTCCCCCTCTTCGTCTCCCCTCGCCTCCCTGAAACGTGGCCTGGGCCGGCGAAAACCCGGCATATTGCTCCGTCCCGGCGTTGTAGGAATGCGAGGTCAACGGTCTAGTGACTAAGGCATGCGTTCACATGACCACACATCCCTGCCGCCGCCGTAGCTGACGGTGGCTGAAGCTGGCATGGCTTCTCCATACCGTTAGTGACGTGAGATATCACACCCAACTCAGTTTCTCCACAGTTGGATAGTGTAGTGGCGGCGCCAAACACGGCGGCGTTGGAGTGGTCTCGTCGAGAGCTTTCGGAAAACGTATCGTTTCGTTGTTTGCGTCCTCTTCGCCGCGGACTAGTCGAGCTTTCGAAAACGGTCTTGCGCCATGTCACCGATGGTAGTAGTCGTCTTCGACACCTTTGCGTTGCTCCTGCAGATTCATGGCTAGACCCGCCGCTCGCGGGTGGTGGCTTACAGATCGTTCCACCGCTCTCGTCCGTCGAGGTTGAATCGTATCGGGCATGGCATGTTTGTAGGTGGCTGCTGAGATAAGGCTGAATGCTGCTTGGAAGGAGTCTATCAAGCGTCCAAGTACAAAATCCTAAGCTTGAAGTATCACAGCCGCACTGAGAGGATGACGGGTATGGTAGTATACAAGTACCTTTGGGGATACAATGTCTATCTGTGGTCTGTCCATCAATTGCAGGCGGGGGCGGGAGGAGGCAAGTACGTGATGCGGGACTTGATGCGCGTGCTGGAGCACGAAAAGCACGCCTACACCGACCCCGTAACGGAGGTAAGGCTTTTTTTTTTTTCCCCAAGTTATTTGATTGGACGTGAGCACCAGAGAGGAATCGGATGCTCGTGTTGGCTGGCTGGCCAGTTGCGTGAGGAGTTTGGTGATGGACAATGTTTTGCGCCAATCAACTCTCTGGCATGGTGCAGACATGTGTTGTAGGAACCAAACGAGTTGTTCGAATCGAAGCCAAGAGCGTTTCGTGACCATACATGACATGCATATATCACAGGTTATGCTTACTGAAATGAAATTTTTCACACATACGGCAGATCCTGAGCTAGCTCGATCTGTGGGGATCGGAGCTGTCCTACGTGTGTTTGAATGGTTTGAATGAAATCGGTCGCTCCACTGGGTGCCTAGGTATGCTTGCTGCTTCTGGGTTTGCTGTATGAGGGGCCTCGTGTTTTCATTGAGAGCGACCACACCATGGCTCGCGCGGAAGCTGGTGTATTTGGTGCATTTGGTACGCGCCCTGCCATTCATTCTGACGTGTGTATGATATACCACAGCAGTGTTTGCAAAAACAACCCCACAGCTCTTACTTGCACAGCAAGCGACGGTATGTTGATGCATGAACTAGTCTCTCAAACACATTTGGTCTCGCTTTGCCCTCATCGCGTTGTGTGTTTCTTGTCGCGCCGATTTTTGTTCGTTTTTTTGTGGCAGTTCCTGGAGGGGCTTCAGATGTCCTTCGACTTCGACGGCGCGCAGGCACGGCTGGTCGAGTGCGAACGGGTGAGACACACGGGAATAATCTTACGGAATGGAATACGGTTTGGAGAAACGGAATAACGTACATGAAGCGAGACATGACTTCGTAAAAATATCATGATGAGTGCGAACGGGTGAGATACACTGGAAGGTTCTTACGGAATGGAATACGGTTGGAGAAATGGAAAACGTAGATGAAGCGAGACATGACTTTGTACAAAAAACATGGTGAGTTCGTCCGGGTGGGGCACACTGGAAGAATCTTACGGAACGGAATACGTTTGGAGGAATGGGATAACGTACATAAAGCGAGACACGACTTTGTAGGAAAGATATGATGAGTGCGTACGGGTGAGACACACGTGGGAGGAATGAAATGGATTGAAGAAGTGGGATACGGGTGTATGACGAAATCAAATACGGTGTGAAATGAGAAAATCTGTCTCATGTATTGTTTTAGAACAAGCTTTGCCTCATGACTACCTCGCATCCGCTCAATTGGTCTTTGCCATGATCATTTTGTTTTCGCGTTTGACAGGTTCTGCTGAGCGACTTTTTCCTTTGCAACTGCGCGGACGAGTTCATGGAGGCGGCCCGTCACTTCATCTTCGAAACGTACTGCCGCATACACCACAAGATCGACATCGGCATGCTCGCCGATAAGATGGTGTGTATGCAGACTGTTGTATGTCCAGATTACGCTCCGGGCCCTCTTGTGTGTGTTCCTTTTCCCTTCGAGGCGAGCATCGACCCTGCTAACCGGCTGAACGAAGAAAATACTTCAGTCTTACCTACAGCGGGATAAGAAACCCGAAGATGCGTTCTTTTGCAAAGGGTCGTACCGACAAGGGGGACGAAGGAGTTGGACGACAGCATTGTCCTGCTCTTGAGGCTCAAGGAGGAGAGTCAACACCGCCAGCATTGCTGCTGCATCATGCGTTTCTCCAGTGATGATGATTTCATCACTTTGTGTACGGGGCGGCTCTCTACCCGCCTTGTCTTTGTGAGTGTATCGTCCCCTTCGTTCTGGGCGTCAGTGTTTCCGCCTTTGGGTATGTTTCTGGACGTGCCAGCCGAAATCCTACAGGAGGAGGAAGGCCACGTAAACTTTCTTTGTTTTTTTGTCCATAACGTCAAATACTCTCACGGTCAACGACAACGAGCGACTGCGTGTCATGACACAACGATACTACTAGGTAATGGAGATGATGATGACGATAGACGACAACAATTACAGTGACGACACTCTGGACGTAAAGATGGAAATAATAACGAACGATTTCATGTAATGATACAATGATACAATGATACAATGATACAATGACTTATGCTATTTAGGGGATGGAGATGGAAGCAGCCGAGAAGTGGATAGTAGACCTCATCCGGGGATCTAAGTTGGACGCCAAGATCGACTCGCGCGACAACAATGTCATCATGGGCGGCACGTTCCCCTCGGTCTACCAGCAGGTGTGTAGGGTGGTTATTGAGCTGTGTACAGGGAGTGTTGTGATTAACTTCAATATGTGTGCGGTTGGGCTTAGTGCTTGCTGTTGACGATGGATGCATCATGCACCGCGAGTGCTGAGAGAGGGACGTATACAGACACATTGATAAGCGTGTGTGAGAGATGGAGGAATAGAGACAGAGAGAGGCTAGCGTTGAATCCCGATGATTGTCATGTTTCTCGGGCGCAAGCTGCCGCTCGAGGTTATTGTCTTTTCCTTTTGCCATTTGCAGACCATTTCTCTCGCCAGCTTCCTGTAAGCGTGCAACGCCCCGTGTCTAATCATCTTCTCACAAGCATCCCCCCGTCCCCGCCCCCGTCTCCCTCTCAGCTCATGGGGAAGACAAAAGACCTGACGGTGCGCAGCTACACCCTGGTCAACATGCTCAAGCAGCTTGCCACCGACACCGCAAATGGCGTCACCCCTGACCCGGCGAACTACAGCGGCCGCGGCGGTGGCGACTGGGGCAGCGGACGGGGTCGCGGGAGGGGGAGGGGCGGCGGGGGACGGTCAGGCGGCCGGGGAGGAGACAGGGGCAGCGGCGGGGGCAGGTACGTGTTGCTGTTTTTGGAAAGGATATCCACTGTAGGTTGACTACAAGTTCTCGACTTGTCGTTCTTTTTTTTGTGTTTGGTGGATTTTTGTGCGTGTTCTGCCGGGATATATTCAGCAGTCTAATTATTTTGAAGCAGCAGCAGTTTATCAGCATGACTTGACTTGACTTCCGCCCCTCTTTGACTATTCGTGCTGTGCCATGGCGTGGCGTGTGCCCTGTTTGGCAGGGGTAGCAGTGGCGGCGGCGACCGGGGTTACCAGAGCAGAGGGGGCGGCAGGAACAGCTCCCGTGGGGGGGACTGGTGAAATGAGCATGGCCGTACGTGACGGAAGACATCCCACCCCCCTGGACCAATTCTCGGAGCCCGATACTCTGCTGCACAAGACAGCAGCGGCGCTGGAAATGGCGGGAGTCTTGTCTAGAGCTTTCCGAAAACGTGTCGTATGGTTTATGGACCCTCTTCGACGTTGAGTAAGCGAGCTTATTGAAGATATCGGTCCAAGGGGTGTGGTATGTTGTGTCATGTCACCTACGGTATTAGTAGGGCAGAGGGGGGGGGGGGGGGGGGGGGGGGGG